GTGTGGACCCAGGCCCCGGGTGTCTGTGCTGTGCCTGTGGCCTAGAGCTGAGTTCGTAGGGGCCACCTGGGCAGAGGTGTCTGTGTGTCCAGTACCCAGCATTGGGCCAGCCTGAGGAGGTGCCTGGGGGTTCCTGGGGCCCTGTTGTGAGGCGGGAGCGGCCACCCACTCCCCCCTCCCCTGGCTGGGAGAACCCCAGCCCCAGGAGGCAGGCCCTCAGGAGCCAGGCTGTCCTCAGAACGGGGTGCAGCTGGCCGGCCGGGTAGATGTGGCTCAAGGTGGAGGCCACCTGCACCTTAGAAGTGGGAGGTCGTCAGACCCAGATGTCTGTCCAGTTTCCCTTGAAAAACCTGGAGGTTTGTTAGACGGGCCTGGTTCTTGCAAGGTGGCCCCAGGTGAGCGCTCCCTGGTGGACGAGGGAACGGGGACCCTTGTGGCTGAGGGTGGGGCTTGTGTGGGTAGCCTCGGTCTGATCTTCACAGCGGTGGCTTTGTGGCTGCGTAGCCTCAGCTCCAGACGGGTGTCCTGAGTCGGGGACAGTGGTGGGGCTTTTCGTTCTCCATGCAGGTTGCTGCTGAGCCTGGGAGATGGGCAGGTGAGAGGAGCGGGTGTCAAGGGGGGAGTAAGAATGTAGACAGGTGGGTGAGGTTGAGCTCAGATGTGAGGGTGGGGGGTGGGGGTCAGCCAGATGGGGCAAAGGCCCTGAGCCAGGGCCGGGGCTCGTCCCGGGCGGACAGTGGTCCAGCCATCCTGGCGATGCCCAGCAGATGATGAGAGTTGTCACGCAGGGCAGGTGGCAGTGACTGCAGAGCTGTGAATTCCCTGTAAAGGTGCACTTGTGTGCCAGCCGGGTGACGTGCTGGTCATATCGTCTGTGTGAACCTGGAGGAGCAGGTTTAAAGCACAGGGATTACTGGGTTCGAGCTGTCTTCGCTGTGGCCATCCCTGTCTGTCTCAGTTCTGCACGCCCAGTGGGACACACCCAGGCTGCAAAGCTGGGTCGGGCGTGTGTTCTGTGTCATGCAGGTGCGTGGTCCTCGTGGGACATTGCAGGTAGAGGGTGTTTACAGCGAGATGGAGCGGGGAGGTAGAGCGGTCCCAAATACCCGCTGCCCCCACCACATCCTCCTGTCAGCATCCCCACCAGATGGTCCGTTTGTCACGACTTACAAACCCACACTGACGTGAGCACCACCGAGGGTCCACGGTTTACACGGGGGTTCCCGCTGCGCGTTACGCAGGCTGTGGGCTTGGACAGATGTATAATGTCACAGATCCGTTGTTATGATGTCACACACGTTGCCACTGCCCCAGAAACCCTCTGTCCGCGCTGTTCCTCCCTCTCCACCCCCGCCCAACCCTGGTCGATACCTGCCTTTTCAGTCTCCGTGGTCTTGCCTTCCCGGGACGTTTATGGCTGGGACCACACAGTTTGCAGAGTGGCTTTTACTTAGGAATGTGAGTGTGAGGCTTCTCTTTAGCTTCGTAGCTTCTTTTCTGTGTGCCACCAGCCGTTTTTGACGACCCAGATCCTTTCATTCCTTGCTGCCTTTAGAAAACACGTCCACCAGGGAAGCTACTCTGTGGTCCCCTCAGCACCTCTGAATGGCAGGCATTGGCCCCCCACCAGGTTCTAGAGGTGGCGACCATTGGTTTAGGGAGCAGATGTGCAGTGTGTGCTTTGCCGTTAAGCGGAAACCCGAGCTCCCTACCTTTCCTTCAGCCGGGTCCCTCTCGAGTGCCACGCGTCCTGCATCACTTGACTTTTCTCCCCCACGTGGAGAAGCGCTTGCTTTAACATTGCTTACCACGCGTGCAGCCTCTTCCCTCGGAAGCTCACTGGCAACGCCTGGGACTGGGAGCCACTGCGGTCCCGAGCCCAGCCCTGTGCAGGGAGGGTCCTCCCATCTCTGGCTCCTGCCCCGCCTGTCTGGGCAGGCCTTGCAGCAGCGGGTCAGAGCCTGCCAGCTGGGCCGAGGGTGCACCTCCTGCTCAGCCTGCGCCTTCTGAGGGGCTTCCAGGGACCCGGCGCTTTAGAGGTGGGTCGATCTGGGTTCAGCCCAGCCTCCTCATCACCTGCTGTGTAACCCTGGCCAGTAAGCTCACTCTCTGACCTTCTGAGACACCCCTTTTCCTCCGAGGGAGCCGAGCCTGGGACCACCCCCCACGGCTCGGTCCACATGCCTTTGCAGGAGGAGCAGCAGCTGCTGAGGGCTCCGCCTCTCTGCCACCCCGGCCTCCTTACTGGCCGACCTAGTGAAGCCAGGCTCGAAAGTGAAACAATTTCAAAGAGCAGCATGTTGTCGGAGGGTGTCCGGCTGACCTGTGCTCCGGCCGCCCAGTGGCGGCTGTCTCCTTGGTCACCGCAGGTGCTGCGGGGGCGCCCGGGGCATCTGGTCAA